CCAAAAACACATACTTTCTGTTTACGAGTCGGGGGACGATGGTGCTGTGTCGGTGAACGTCTCTGTCAACGTCGCGGAAAGGTCTGCCCTCGTGCATCCTTGGGAAGCAAAAACGGTTTTCCGTTACTGTCGAACCACTCATAATAACCATCAGCAACCATCAAGAGGTCATCAAAAATGGGCTCTCTACGGGGAAGACGCCAATGTCGATACTCCCACAACACGACCCACTCATGATGCCTCACCAACCAATCTGTATCTGTCTTGCCGCGTCTATATATGCTATGCAACTTGTCAATATTGTGAGGTGCTTCCGGAATTGGTTGAAAACAACCAAATTGCCGGAGTACGCGATCAGTTGAGTGCCACTCGACGATCGCATAACAGATCAAGGGGACCATCGCCATCCAAACATTTGATGGGCCCCTCAACTCAGGTGAGATCACCTCCCTCACATCATCAGTAGAATATGACACCCATTCAAACTAAAACAAATATATATAATTTTTATCAAAAGAATAATATAATTATATAACTATAATCTAAAATCGATTTTTAAACATTAAAATTCATACAAGTGTGCCAACCTTCTGATCGATTAGCACCCTAATTTTTTCTAAATCATCAGGTAGCTCTTGATGATTTTTCCTATCAGTAGACCACCTATTCAAGGAAAAACATTTATTATACGCTTTATAAAATTATTAATATACGAAATCAGTTTTATAATTACCTCAGGAGTAGTGGAAATACGAATGAGTTCTTCACAACGGGACATAAAAAGGGCAATCGATACCTTGCCCAAGACTGTAGCAGCAGGAGACATCCGCTGATAGCATTACGCATGTAGTCAATGGCTTCACACATCTTCCTGTACAGCAAAACCAAAACTGCCGAGCCCCAACTGAATGATCCGACCAGATAAAAGTCGCTCAGATGTCGCAACCACATGCAGTGAACTTGGTTGCACGATTTGTACGGCATCAACAACCCTCCTATCAGCTGCAGTATACATGCCCGTGCATACATTTTAACTTCATCCTCAGACGCGTCCTCGCTCAACTCCCGAAAATTGGCATCTAACCAATTTAACGGTATCCGACCACCGTTAAAACTTTTCGGGACACATCCTAGATTTTACCTGCACAAAGTAGTCCAGGAACCCTGCGTGATCCCTGATATAATATCCCCATCCACCGGAAGCCCCAGGTGCATAGCAACATCCTCAAGTGTAATCTTGCACTCTCCGCACGGAAGATGGAATGTGTGGGTCTCCGGCCTACACCGCTCTACTAAGGCAAAGATAAGGTCTGGTTCTATCTTACAGTGACCCTGATATCTACCTATGTAACCAAATCCAACCTCTACTAAATACGGCAAGACACGGCTAGGTATCACTAACTTAAGGTTCCTAATAAAAGGATCTAATACATGGTCCTTCTCCTAAAAATAAATAATTACAAAAATTAATTCTTAATCTAATAATCATGCATTAAATAAATTAACAAATTATTACTAATAATTTAAATTAAATTAAAACCTTAAAATGTTACCGTATCAGCAAAGTGTCGAGATATATGATTTCCATTCAAGTTAAGTAGACCACTTTCCATTATATATCTACAAAAAAATTATATAAGTAAAATATTAAATAAATTAAAATACATAAATAAATTAAATACAAAATATTAAAAATATAATAAAATATACCTTAAACATAGAATATAAGAGTATTTGAGAGAAGTTGAGAGGAATTGAGAGAATTTGGTGTGATGAAAGTGATTGAGGATGAGGGTATTTATAGGGAGGATTGGGGTGTGAAACATCGGGGTATGGGGGTAATTAATCATATAGCGCGGGGCAGGGGGCACGCCTTTCTGACGTGTGGCAAATACACAGGTAAGGCGCGACCTCTGATCCGCACTATACCCACGTGTATCCCATGTCAGCATATAGCGCGGTGCAGGAGGGCGCCTTACTTCACGTGGCGCCAAATCATCATATAGCACGGTTCAGAGGGCGCGCTTTACTGCTAAAGGTGTTAGATTGGAAAATATAGTCTGATCGGTATTAGATCAATAAATATACCGATCACCGGTGATTTTCGGGAAAAACGCCCAGATGCCATTGCAAAATCCAAAAAAGATATAAGCAAAATAATTTAAGAAAACAGAGATCTATACAATAGCATTGGAACGGCAAAAACATATTACCGCTGGTTGTTCTTCGTCAAAAGCCAAGCACAACATACTAAAATGTTTGATGGGAATTTTTTAAGGGTGTAAACTAGCTGAGTCAAGTTCGAGTATCTCGACTCGAAAACTCTAAAATAGAACTCGACTCGAAAACTCGCGAACTTTAAATTTTCAAGCTCGACTCGAACTCGAAATCCTAAATTGAAACTCGTGAGCAGCTCGAAAAGACTCGAAATGAAAAAAAAATCTTAAACTTAACTCGATTGAAGCCTCAAACTCAAATTCGAACATGAACCTTAAATACATGAAAATCTTACTGTATTTTTTTAAAAACAATTAATACATAAATGTTAATATTATTAATAATTTATTTTTTAAATAAAATCTTAATAAGCTCGAGTGAAGTTCATTCAATCCGAGTATTTATCAAGTCTTAATCGAGTCGATCTCGAGTAGCTCACGATCTATCTCGTCTCATTTATATCCCTATAATTTTTACCAAGTTTTTCTATGATCCAATACATGACATGACCATTCCAAACCCAATCGGAAGAAATTAAAGAAATGTAGCTTCAAAAACGTAGTCTTCCCAACCAAAAACAAAGTTAATAGGAAGCTAATTAGCCAAAGCCTACGCAAAATTCAAAGCAATCTGGCTTTTAAAGCTCAGGGTTTAACACCAAAGCAATCGGTTAAGTTGAACAAAGCCAAGTCATGCAATATAACGTAAAACTACCAAAACTGAGAAGGGATAAGCTCAATACATTAAACAAAGATTTCTAAGCAAACACAGAAAGATAACCAAAAAACTTAATTTTTGATCTTTAAGAGAACATTTAAGCACAATATCCATGAAGAAGCTAATGCTCAATGAGTTCGTTTATATCCATCTCTTACCTAATCTAAAATATCATTGTTCGATATTATAATATAGATCGTCTACTGTTCATCTTTAAGTTTGGTAAGAAATCCTTAACCAGCTTAACAAGTTCTAATCATAAAGTTTACTCATTTAATCATCATCTTCATCCTGCAATAACACAAAAGAAACAAACAAGTTAAAACACAATACCGTGTTTTAATCTTAAGATCCATTTAGTTCTGAACTTGGTTTTAAAAGGAGCAAGGCGCAGCCAAGCATTGAAGATAGTGCCTGCCTAGAATGAGGCGAGGCACAGCTAGGCACTAAAGATAATGTCTACCTAGAATGAGGTGAGACGAGATGCAAGAGGCGTGCACCTCTGGACTTTAGGCGTCGGGCACAACGCCTTTTCGCCTTTCGGATTTTGTTTTAAAGATATTAATAAGAAGTAAAACAAGTTAAAGAAAAAAAAGATAAAAAAAATTGCAATAATAAAAAGGGAAGAAAGCCGAAGAAGATTAGAAAACTCTTTATTTTATCACATTTCATTATTTCTTAACTCTAATATTTGACATATTAGTAAGTCAAACCCTATAGCTCAAATTTATAACAACCCATTATAAATTCTTCCCTCTTTGTATGCTTTTAACTCAAAATATATGTTTTTTAAATTAATTATTTAATAATACATAATTAATTTAAAATTTTAAAATATTAGATTAAATATTAATTACTTAATAAATTTTATTAAATATAAAATTTATTTTTATAATAATTACAATTTTTAAATTGATATTAAATAAATTTGTATCATTTAAAAATAAATGAAATAATAATTATAAATATTAAATACATTAAATACAAATCAATAACAGTATAGATTTTAACAAAAGGAAATTAAAATATGTTTATTAAAATAAATAAAATAATAACTTTAAATATTAAAAACTTTAAGTATAAATTAATATATTATAGACAAGTATTTTAAGAGTTAACCGATGGGTAACGAGCATAAATATATTCATACAATTAATTTATAAACTTTTTAACATAGATATATTTATAATATTGTTTTAAGTATAAAATATGTTCGATAAAAAAATTAATACTGTTATTTTTTATTAATAAATTAATACTGTTTAGAGGATGGATATTGAACGTGCATTAAATTAATACTGCTTAGAGTATCTTAAATATAAAATTGTTTTAAGAGACGGCTCCTGGATATTTACAAGAGCCACTTGTTTTAAACCAAACCAGCCCATGAGCTTGAAATTCAAGAGAAAAAAAAATCATGGCAGGCTGGGTCCAATCTAACAGACCTCTGCATCTGATTTGTATGGCTTATATACATCACTGTCAAGGATTAAAGTAAATTTTTATTCTAGATATGCAAATTTTTAAAAAATTATATTATAAATTTAAGAACGGAATCCTAAAATATTAGGAATACGAAATTTAGTTCATAGAAGATTTATGATAAACACTTAAATTATATAGAAATTTAAAAATTTTAAAGGGTATAACCACCCTCACACCTCCCTCTCGGTCCATTCTTGATTGTTGTATACTCGGTAAAGAATAGTGACCCTTTTCCCATGGAAGCTTTACTTTTCCATTTTTCTTGAATGAAACTTGGGTAGTTGGAAGGAACAGAACATGCAATGATGGAATGAAGATTTACTGCAGTCTTCCAGACTAGCCATAAGAGGACTGTCTGAAGCCAACAAATGTACAAACAAGCCTAACATTACATTGTTGCAGCAGAAATAGAAATATGGATTTTGCCATCAACCAAAATCCGATATGATTTAAACATAATTGAAAGTCACTTTTTCAAATGAAAAATATCAAGTCTGTTTTTACAGTGGATTGCTAAGTATTACACCTACGGCAAGGTTGCCAAAATCAATTTTGCAACTGCTACTTCTTTTTCCTTTCTTTTTATATGTTTCCAAATACCAATGGGCATTTAGCCATTTTCTGTCTATGAAGTTCACAATAAAATCCTTCATCAACCTCTTTACTTTCTCATCTTGATATTTCCTTATAGTTTTTAACAATTTAGTCTCTTCCATCTCTGGTTTCTTCATCAACTGCACAGGGCAAATTGATATTTTTTAATGCTTATCAGCATCTTGTTCATGGTGTTTGAGATTAATGTCTCCAGTACTCAGTGAAATACTCCTTTGTGGTTTTATGATAAACTCTACACTTAGGCGCAGGACCCATCTTGTTCAATCTCTCTCTGTTGTTTTCCTTTACTGGTTCTACGTGTTTTCATTAACTCTCTCTCTCTTTCTGATTGAAATCCCATAATCATCTCTTGTTTTCTTTAGTTCTTTTGAATAATAAAATTTCTGGGTCCAGAAGCCAGTTATTGTTTCTTTTGTTTCGGTTGTATTTGTTGTTGTTGTTGTTATGGCTAGTTCAAGCAATGGAGCATCCTCAGCTTCATTCACGCAGGGAAGCTCGAGTTCATCGGAGGATTTTCAGCAGAATTTAGATGAAAGGAAGCGCAAGAGAATGGCATCCAACAGGGAGTCTGCCCGCAGGTCTCGGATGCGTAAACAGAAGCACCTGGATGAACTAAAGGGCCAAGTTTCTGAGCTCATAAAGAATAACAACCAGATCCTCACAAGCATCAATGCCACCTACCAGCTTTACTTGAACGTTGAGGCCGAGAACTCGGTTCTTAGAGCTCAGATGAGTGAGCTCAGCACTAGGTTGCAATCTCTCAGTGAAATCATTGATTTCATAAACTCGAGCAATGAGATTATAAAAAGTGACAACTTTGATCAGGCTGACCATTATCATCCTCATCGTCAGATCAATGATGATACTTTCATGAATCCATGGAATTCATTCTCTGTCAATCAATCATTCATGTCTTCTGCTGACATTATTTTGTACTGAATTCGGTACTTGGCTGTGTACCCTGGCTTTCTAGTTTACTGGTGTTTTTAGATTTCCCTGAGTTTTAATGTTTTTTCTCTTGTTTTACTCGTATTATTTATGTTGTAATTAGGAATTTAAATTGCAATGCAGATGCATTTTCAGTTATATTGCGTTTATTTGCTATTATGGATATAATAAACACTTGCAATCAATTAAGATGAATATTAAATTAGGAAAATAAAAATTGAAGTCGAAAAGCGTAATCGATTTCACAAAATCATTGGTAAAACGTTTACTGAACTTGAACAGTTACATGGTCCACCCTTATTCTAAATCCAATCCTGCATAACATAAATCGTACAAACTCTGAGAACTATGATCCTAAGAATCTTCTCTTCGAATTCCAGTGTGTTAGAACTTGTATCAGGGTGATCTTTGGCAGCCATGTCTCTATAAAACGAACCTTCTTTTTCACCGAGAACCAGATGAAGCACGGGGTTTACCCTTCATTGAATTCAAGTGTTGGGTGACAGAGATTACTTCCATCACAAGTAAAAGGCAACCTACCAATGTGCTGAAGAAGAGGGCACCGGGTTGTCTTGTCTGGACAAAACCGTATGCTCCATTCGAGGTCACGAGAATGATATCAGTGAGTCCGTCATTTGAGAAGTCCTCAGTTATCAGGGCATGGGTGGGTGGAGCAGGAAGTTCGATTGACGCTAATGAACTCCCACCAGGGGAAATAATTATGCCTGTTTGATCTCCAGCAGCAAGGATCATTTGCTGATTGTCATGCACACACAATGAGATCGGCTTCAATATTGGAACCACTGTACCACCTTCCATCATCCCTGAAGGTGAAGGAAGGTTTGACCATGAAGCATCTGTCAAGAGCTGCCATTTCCACTCAGCACTATGTCCATGCAAGCCAGGAGAGTACGCGGTTACCTGACATGATCAACGGTTCTAAGTTCCCAAGTCTTCAGCATAGACAAAATTTAACATGTACAATGCAGCCAATGACTAGAAAATGAAAACAATACATGCATGACCAAGCACAGTAGTTAAGAAAATGCAACAATACGAGCCAAGGAGATGCGCAAACATTAGACACAGAAATAACAGCATTCCTCTCCTCGATTGGTTAAGAAAATAACATCACCATGGCTTCCCTTACGATGCCTATATCCGTCACTTTGGGGGATAAGAATAGGTGTTGCCTCTTCTAAAGAAGCAACATTTGCAGTTCGACCATAACCTCTATAGAACTCTCCATGCTGGAATAAATTGAAAGGGGAATGATGACATATTGAAGCATTAAACAGTTGTTCTCGAACTGGTCTGGTACGCCAGAGGTTGCCACAGCCCAACAAGGTCACAATACCTCCATTGATCCACTAACAACAGTCTGCTCAGCACCATTCCTCCAACAGCCTGAGGAGAACAGAAATAACTGGTCACTTAAGAAGTAGTTAGCACATTGGTACTTATGCAGTTTTTGTTATAAAATATGAGATGCACGATAAAAACAATTTGGTACAATTTATATAAGAAACAAAAAGAAGTCTGCACCTGAACATGATCCAGGACTCCATCTCCATTGATATCAGCATGAAGACCGCCTTCTTGGAGATGAAGCTGATGAAATCAATAAATATCACCCATCAAATCAGTAAGCAACATATAATCCTGATAACATGAATACATTGTATTTAAAAACTAACAGTAGAGCAATTTGACAATTGCAACACATACTTCATGAGGGGAGAGAAAAGGCATAACAAAAGCAATAAGATCACAAGTCAAACTAGCATTTCATATTAACAGCCAGTGAAAGAAATTTAGACAAACAAATTAATTTAGCAGATTTAACATCCATTAAAAGCACAGTGTGTGGGTCTAAGGTCACCTTGCATACAGTTCGACAAGATGCCAAATGAACAGCTTCTATCCCTTCCTTTTGATGGGCCACAACAACATTAGGAACCCACCAGAGCTGTGTGTAGTTTGTTATGGTTGGGATATAAGCCATCGGCTGCAACAAATTGTAAAGAGAATTATAAGCATTTATAAGATAAATTGCATGAATGGACTTCATGTTTTGTGGATCAAGATAAAGAAAATAATCACTAAAAACATACATGATAAACACCATATCGTACATGGAAAAATTCAGTTTGCCTGGCAATAAAAGAGGAACTGACACTATAACAAAATTGATAGGTCATACAATAAAAGCAATATCGTCCTGTAAATAAGTATATCACAGGTCAGGTCTCCTAGTGTACCAGACTAAGTGCAGCAGCAAGAAGTAGCAGTTAGATGCAGAAAAGCTTTAGAAAAAGTCTATGCAACAAAGGAGAATATAGAGATAAAACAACAGTGGTGCAAGGGGTGTCATTCCCAATGAGCTACAAGTTACATAGCATCACAGCTAATAAGAAACCTATCAAATAACTGAAAAACCTTCATGTCCAGTCCTTTTAAACTTCAGAATGAATGTGTTAACAGAAGTATGCACATCCAATTGAAAAACTTACCTTCTTAGATTTTGCTGAGCCAGCAATCTTAGCAGCTTTCCCAATCAAGTTCGAAATTTTTTTGGAATCATCCTTCCCTGGAGGATGGTGTTCCTCAGGCTTGTGAAAAGGATATGTTGTCAACTTTCCAGGTACCTTTTTCAATGTTTTCCTCTTATGTTGCTTAAAATGTGATAACTCCAACAATGTATCTTCTCTCCTATCCTAGAGAAAAGTATAAATGCAAAATGAATCCCTTACAATCTTGAGTATGCAAAGAACATAGTAAAAGTTCATAGTTAACATGTACTGCTTGCTTACCCAATGATGTGGCATAACTCCAAGGATCGATTCTCTATATTCCCTGCATTCAAACTACAGTTCAACATGTCTTAAGAGATTTTATAATAGGGAACGATTCAACTAGATTGGATCAAAAAAAATCAAAAAGTTGTCACAAGGGAAATCATATAATTCCGGGAAATGCTTTAAAAGAAATAAACATACAAACATGATCGTACAAATATGAAACATCCACAACTTAGATCAATAAAAATGCCACAAAATGTACAAATATGAGAGCAAAAAGTGTGCTTTTATAGCAGGTGAAATGAACTCATATTTGACAAAATTTGATGTACAAAACAAAGATGAAGAACCAGGAAAACTGATGAGAAGCTGGAAAAATCAGATGCCTGTGATTTTTACTTGAATAATGATGAGCCGCTAATAAAAAATATTCAGCTTCCAGATGCCAGTACATCCCTCTCCCCCCCCCCAAAAAAAAAAAAAAAGCTTCAAGTTTATAAGATCCTACAGGGAAATATAATAATCAAACTGGATTTAAAGCATACCTCACCAGGATGACGAGTGTTCAGAGCATGCACATCAAGCTTATTGTTACGTTGTGGAATTAACTGTGATGAATCTGAAGAATGCTCAACATTCTTAACCAAAAGAAAGAAAAAAAAATCATTATCAGCGTGCAGTGAAGGAGAAGATAAATGATAAAAGCACCAAACTTGCAAATAAGGTGACAACAATTATCAAGATTCAAGAGGCATATATGTTCTCCCAAAAGCTTAGCATATGGTGAAATATATGCCGAACTTCAAAAATAACTACGGAAAATAATAATGAAAATTAGAAACAGATTTTCCAAAAAAACAAAAAGCATACCTCATTCTTCCTAGACCATCGTAGTCCACCTTTTCGCCCGTCAAATGCATAAAAAGCAAAATGGCGTAAATTCACAGTTCCAGAGTTTTCAGAAGCCTATATAGGATATAATATATCAGTATTCTAACCATGAAACTAGAAGTAACATCCACTTACTTATAATGTTACAGATTCTGTGCATGGAAGTGCCGAATAATCAAGTAGCTAAAATAGAGAGAATAATGGAAACCACATCCAACTTTGACAGCTTCAAATGATTAATGGCAAATGACAACTTCTAGGTATTTGACAGACAAGTTTTCAAAAGAATAAAGCAGCAAAAAGAAAATGAAATAGGAGAAGGAAGCCCCCAAGAAAGTTCAGGCAGACTTAACACGCCTGTTATACCAAATCTCTTTGCATAAACATGGAAATGCCAACATCAATCATACCAAGGAAGCAGATGTCTAACATCAACAGACAATGATACATCCATACCTCCTTTTCATTCGCGCTTCTTCTAAGCTGCTCAGCACTTCGTTCTGCCATCCCAATTTCTTCAAAAGGATCTAGATATAACTGAAAACATTAAGAAACTTGTTAATCAATCAAAGAGCAGTAACAAAAAAAAAACCCACCTTACAGATCATATATCCAGGTCTCGTAATATTACACACCGTGATGCTAAGAAGTTACTAAAAAATCAATTCCTATGTAATCGAAACATGATAGTTTTCACAGAACCAAGACTTGGTGAACAGAAATGTACAACTAGATTTTCAAAGTATAACCGACAAAGATAATGGACACTAAAACAAAAAAACTTTAGATAACATACATGGGGTTGCATTTCCATCCTCCCACCATCAATGACTAAACCTGAATCCCCATGTTTCAAGGTGTAATTACTTATCGAAATTGCTATCTCTCTATGGTGTGCGTTATGTGGAAAATCCTCCAGTCCAACACCACAAAAACCCAAGACTATCAGAAACAACACTACTTGATAACAAGTTCCAGAAAGATCAAATACAAAACCTTGAAGTAGACAAACCTGCAAATTATTCTATCATAACGTTTTGAGATTATGGTCGAAACACATAACAGACAAACCTGCAAATTATTCTATCATATCGTTATTGTTTCTAGAGATCATGTTGTGGAAGACAGCTATTGAATAGAGCAAAAGCACAACTGATAATTTGAGAAAATAAAAATGAAGATAAAAGAGACACAAAATTTAAGTGGAAAACCCCTAAATAATATAGGGTAAAAACCACGTGCAACGGTAGAAGAATTTCACTATGAGAAAATAGGAATTACAACTTCTCTCGATCTACCAAGGAGAAAACAATGATAATTCTCTCTTGATAAAAATGAGAAAACAACTCTCAAGAAACTCTATAAATTCTCTAGTATTAGAAGAAAACTAGAATGCTTTGGGATGGCTTTAAAGCTAAATGAGCTAGGGTATTTATAGTTGAA